TGTCCCCGAGCTGTTGCGGTGAGAGATGGGTGGGGATGTCCTTTCTTTCTAACACAGCCTGGTACTTCAATCCACACCCCGCCCCAGAGCAATGATTGAAATGAAACAGGAGCCTTTTCATTTTATGTTCCAAAAAACAAAAATTACTTGAGTTAAGGACCTCAGTCACGCCAGGTAAATCCTCTAGTACATTTGTAACTCCCAAAACATGGGTGATAGAAACATCTCAGCGAGATTTTCTTACTTGGTTGTCATAACATTTTCACAGCTATCTGGCTCACCAAATTCCTTGAACATTTATAATATTGGTAATATTGGCAAAAATTATATTATAAATCATCCTCCCTATTCCACATAGCATCACACCCTGGCTATGTCTAGACTGGCAAGTGTTTCCGTAAAATCAGATGATTGTGCGGAAATACGTGCCAGCTGTCTACCCTGTCCGCTTGAATTTCCACAAGAACACTGACGACCTCATGTAAGATCGTCAGTGTTCTTGCAGAAATACTGTGCTGCTCCCGTTCGGGCAAAAGCCTTCTTGCGCAAATCATTTGCTCAAGAGGGCCAGTGTAAACAGCACAGTACTGTTTTCCACAAAAAAGCCCCAATCGCGAAAATGGCGATCAAAGCTTTTTTGCAGAAAACTGTCTAGATTGGCCACGGACGCTTTTCTGCAAAAAGTGCTTTTGCGGAAAAGCGGCCTGCCAATCTAGACGCCACGGAAAACTTTTCCATTAAAAGCATTTTCGGAAAATCATGCCGGTGTAGATGTAGCCCGTGTTATTTCTAGTGTACAGCAGTGAGCCATATTCAGTGGCTTTGTCTACATTGTGATCTTGCGCCAGAAATATGCAAATAAGGCTAAGCGTGGAATATTGCCAGGCCTCATTTGCATATCTAATGCGTCACCATTTTTGCAGAAGAGGCTCTTGCGGAAGAAGGAGCATCTACACTGCCCCTTTTTGCAAAAGAAATCCCTCTTGCGCAATGCCGTTAGCCTGATTATTTTCAGGAGTAACAGCATTGCGTAAGAGCTTTTTCTTGCACAAGAAGGGGCAGTGTAGACAGCTCCTTCTAGCGCCAGAGCCTCTTCTGCAAAAATGGGAGCTCATTAGGTATGCAAATGAGGCTCGGAGATATTCCACGCTTAGCCTCATTTGCAGCTTAGCCTCATTTGCATCCTTCTTGCGCAAGAACTGCCAGTGTAGACATAGCCAGTGTGTTTCCTGTCTCCAAGGCCCAGGTCTCTCTGGAGCGCTGCGGCTGCTGAGTGGAGAGAGCCGGTGCGACGGCAGAGTGGAGATTTCCCTCCGAGGTGTGTGGAGCCGGGTGCTGGATGACCAGTGGGACATGAACGATGCCAGCGTGGTCTGCAGGCAGCTCCAGTGCGGAGCAGCTGAGAGAGCTTATAACCCCCCTTCGTCTGAGCGAGGGATGGGCCCCGTGGGGATGAGAAGGGTCCAGTGTGCAGGGAACGAAACTCATCTGATTGGCTGTGACAACTCCACGTCTGAGCTGGCCCAGGCAAGAATTGCCGAGGACATCGGTGTCGTTTGCTCGGGTGAGTCGTTTCCTGATCTCACACACGTGCTCTGGGCAGCAGGGCGACAAGCACTAACCGCTGGGATCTGTCCCACAGGGAGCAGGCGGATCAGGCTGGTGAATGGGCCGGGTCGCTGTGCCGGGAGAGTGGAGATTTATTACAATGGCACCTGGGGGACAGTCTGTGACGATTCCTGGGACCTGCCAGACGCCGATGTCGTTTGCAAACAGCTGGGATGTGGACACGCCCTCAATGCAACTGTCTCTGCTCATTACGGGCAAGGGTCCGGGCAGATCTGGCTGGACGATGTGAAGTGCTCTGGGAACGAATCCGATCTCTGGGCCTGTCCTTTCGCACCCTGGGGCCAGCACAACTGCAGACACAAGGAGGACGCGGGAGTTCTCTGCTCAGGTCTGGTCTGGGAGCGCTCCCGGGAGCCTGGTTACCAGGGGATGTGAGGAGACAGCTGGGAATGGTAGAAACTCTCTTGCTGTCTCTGTGTCTCTCCAACCTACCTACTGGGATCATGATTAGAAAGTCACCATTTCCCATGAGTTCTCGTTGCATTTGTGTCCCCCGGGAGGGGCAGTTACAGCTATCGCTGGACTATCTGTGCGTGTAACGACCATTAAGGGGGCACTTTCCAGACATGCTCCCTGTGTTTCTAAAGGGCATGTGGGGGCCAGAAGAGTCTCTGATTCTTGCAGTGACTCTTGCAGGCACTGGCCTGTGCAGAACAATGCCTGGGGCTGGTCATGTTTATGGGGATTTCACTCTTCTCACCCCAGTTACATTTAGAATCAGACCATTTATATTGCACGTCTGTGCGTTTCTTCTAGAGTTCACAGACCTGCGGCTGGTGAACAGCAGAGACTGTGCCGGGCGTCTGGAGGTTTTCTACAATGGGACGTGGGGCAGCGTTTGCTCCAATCAGATGTCTGGAGTCACCCCGTCAATCGTCTGCAAGCAGCTGGACTGTGGGGACAAAAGGAATATCGAGTCTGGCCCTGAGTATGGAGAAGGTTCTGGTCCCACATGGCTGGACCATGTAACATGCCGTGAGCAGCACAGCTCCCTTTGGCAGTGCCCCTCCCGCCCGTGGGAACAGCAGTCGTGTGATAACCGTGCGGAAGAGACTCACATCACTTGCCCTGGTAATTCGGACACGCTCTGCATGGACACAGGCCTGGGAGCAGTTTTGCACATCTTCACTTTTCAGCACGGACACTTCCACACTCACAGCTCCTGGTGAAGTGGGTTTGAGTTTAGTTTCACTGACCATTCCACAAATAAGAATAGGTCCTGTGGGAAAGCAGCAGGGGCGTTAATTAGTGAAAGGCGCTGGGTAGCACGGAGCAGTCACCTAGGGGAGCCCACAAATGCCTTTGTGGGAATCTGTGCGGCTGCCCGTGTGGGGTGAACAGTCAGAGAGGGGCCCAGTGCCAGTGACCAGGACGTGGTGGTTGTGGGGAGTGGTTAGAACAGGAGTGGAGAGACAGAACTGGAGACACGAGTCACAGGCAGATTGAGAGGCCAGAGCCAGTTGGAAGTCAGGAACTGTAGCTAAAGAGAAGAACTGATCTACCTGGAGCAAGGCCAGAGGGGGTGTGGCTGGGGCCAAGGAAAGAGCAGGGCTGGGAAGGAGGCGGGAGCATGAAGTTTTGCAGCTGTGAGCACTTGTTGAATGGCTGCTGTGGCTGCTGGGCTTAAGAGCTGGACAGTTGACCCTTCCCACCAATGAGGCATCTACTACAGGCCAGCTGCCCTTGGTAGGTTGCCTGGAGACGGGCTCTGCTGCAGGCTCTGCTTCCTGCCAGCCAGGCAGTGAACAGTCCCCAAGCGGGTGTCTGTGTCTGTGAAGGAATGCGGCGATAGCGGGTTTCAGATCGACAGTCCCACACCAGCCCAGTGCTGACCCCACTCTTTTCTTGTCCCTGCATCCCCACAATAACCTGGGTGAATTCCAGCTGGCCATTGGCTTCCACCTTCCAACCTTGGAAGCAGCAGGAGTGATGGCACGTGGGAAGACCGCGACATACTCAGACACCCACCAACAGTCACACTGGGTCAGAGCTGCTGAGAGTGGGGGAGTGGAGGGGGGGGAAGGGGATTAAGGGAGAGAGATTGAGTAATAAATCCATTAGCTAGGAAAAACTAGAGTGTAGATTTAGGTTTATAAACTTGCTGAATACGGGGGGTTAGTGTTCAGACCCACCCTGCTCACTCCTAGGGTATGTCTACACTACAAAGTTAAATCGAAATAACAATAGTTATTTCGAATTAACTTTAATAGCATCTACACAGCCAAACTACGATTTCAAAATAAATTCAAAATAGTGGAGCACTTATTTTGAATTAGGTAAACCTCATTCTACAGTGAATAACATCAAATTCGAAATAGCTAATTTGAAATAAGTGCTGTGTAGATACTTGTTTCGAATTAGGGGGCCTCCAGCCCTTCCCAGTTTCCCCTGGTGGCCACTCTGGGCCAAACTAGGAAAACTCTTCTCCTCTCCCCCCCCTTCCTGGGGTCCTTAAAGAGGCAGACTCTGGCCACTGGGCACATGCCAGAGCCAGGCCTGCCAGCAGCTGCAGTCCCTCAGCCCGTGGCTAAAACATGGGC